GATATACCAGGACATATTACAGGTGCGACTCTCCGTTGTATTACTCTGTAGAGAGATATACCAGGACATATTACAGGTGCGACTCTCCGTTGTATTACTCTGTAGAGAGATATACCAGGACATATTACAGGTGCGACCAGGACTACAGGTGCGACTCTCCGTTGTATTACTCTGTAGAGAGATATACCAGGACATATTACAGGTGCGACTCTCCGTTGTATTACTCTGTAGAGAGATATACCAGGACATATTACAGGTGCGACTCTCCGTTGTATTACTCTGTAGAGAGATATACCAGGACATATTACAGGTGCGACTCTCCGTTGTATTACTCTGTAGAGAGATATACCAGGACATATTACAGGTGCGACTCTCCGTTGTATTACTCTCACTGCCTTCTCTGTTCATAGCGGTATCAAGGGCCGGTGGGGTAGCCTAGTGGTTACAGCGTTCGATCGTCACGTCAGAGACCCAGGTTCGATTCTCCACATGGGTACAATGTGCGAAGTCCACTTTTGGTGTCCCCGCCGTGATATTGCTGGAATATTGCTAAAAGCGAACCACAGGGGCTTGTAACGCCCAAAACTGCCATAAGGTATATACGGTCAGTAAGGTGGTCTGAGCACTATTTAGTGTTTAGCGTTACAAGCCCCTGTGAAGCGAACCATACTCACTCACCCACAGCGGCATAAAACTAAACTCACTTAGAGCCATTTGTTTACAAATTAGTCTCAACTTGTACATGCTTCAGAAATTCTTAATCCTTAAATGGCCATTTGTTGATACATTAGCTTCTTGCTTTTGTACGTATACACCCGCCACCTCCCTAATTATGTCAATTATCAATCATAATCTGCTCCTGGCCTTATAGGGCGATTAGGGTGCCATTGTATGGATGCAGAGGGGACTAGACTTAGTTTATCCCTTCTGCATAAGCCTAATCCAACAATTAACCTTCATCTTGAAACCTGTGACGCCGGGGAGTGAGCGAGGGTGGTTTCTTTAGGCCGCTTTAGGTGCGACTTCGTCTGCCAGGCCACACATAGTAATAAATGTTAGAATCTAGCAGGCGTGATTGCCATGTATCACAAAAAGCATGTGCTTACACTTTGAAATTCTATAAAAGCATTTATAAGAGATATATCGAGGTTCTTGTAAAATGTTCCTCTATTTTATTGGTGACAGTCGTCAGAACGCACTGTTCTTCACGGAAAACAATTTTATCCAATCACACGATGACTTGTTTATTGTAACAATGTTTATAGAAGTGTCGAAAAATGTTTATATTTAGTTGTGTGGCATTAGCGTCTTTTGCTTGTGTCAGACCAAACACTTACTCCATATTGTCAAGTTGTAAAAATCCGTTGGCGGATCTAGAGGGAGGGTTCAGGGGGTTCGAAACTTTCGTACAGTTTCTCTGGTACGGATATTGGCTTGTACACAGAAAGTGAACTAAAATCAGAACAAATTCGTAGTATTCTTCTGAAACCTTTACATTCAACAGATGTAAGGGCTGACAAAAAACTAAAATATCCTTTAATGGAAATTAGAGGTGTAAAACGGAAATGTAATCCAACACATCTTGATAACAATGATTGGCCGAGATATTCTCCTTCATTTGCTTACCATGTGCTCCTTTTGCTAATGACAATCAAAAAGGCGCATTTGTTACATCGTACGTTTATGATTGGGGAAATATCGGGACACTTATTAAGAGACATACCAAACTTAATTCCCATCACTTTTGTGCCGAGAAATCTTTGAATCATAGAACAATTGTCAGTCATAAACAGGATGATATTTGTTGCCAACTTTCAAGGAAAGCGTTGAAAGAAATCGTTCAATCTTGAAAACACTAGTTGGGACACTCGTTTTGTGCGGGAGGCGGAATATTGCTATTAGAGGTCATGATGCTGAAAAAGGCAATTTTGTAGCCCCCTTGCTTTATCGTGCAAAGCACGATTAATTATTGAACAGTCATCTGCAAACAGCACAATTAGAAACAAATATTTATCACCAGCCATTCAAAATGAGCATCTTGATATTTGCTCATCACAAATTAGAAACCATTTGGTTAATGACTGCAATTCACAGAAATGTTTTTCTCTCACTGCTGACGAGACAACAGATTCCTCAACCAGAGAACAAATTTCCATCCCTGTTCGACACATTTCATTGAACAACCAAGCAGGGTCAAACTATACTCAAGGAATCATTTTTAGGTTTTACTCAGGCTGACGGTACAAAGGCAGCTGCCTTACCCGAGTCATTCCTGTCAGAAACTAGACAAGAATGGGGTTACGAAATGCTATATGAAGGTTCAAGGTCATGATGGTGCCTCAAGCATGAGTGGGTATTTGAATGGTGTACAAGCCATCATAAGACGTCAGTATCCTGAAGCATTCTTTGTTCACTCATTAAGTCTCATTATTTGTATCTGAATCTGGCCTTGGTTCAGAGCTGTTCCATAACATCAGTCAAGAATATTATGTCAACAGTACAAAGCATTGCCTTTTCATTTTCGTATTCGGCAAAACGTCTCTATTCCTACTATGCCAACATATGTGAGCCGTCAAACGATGTGCGACAATGCCCCTGCATCCACACCTGAAGTCTACTGGGAAGAGGAATCTGTTTTACCCTTTGCTGGATCATATGGCTCAGCAATTAGAGAACAGGCTTATCTGTTCCAATGGCCGATTCGAAGCTCAGAATTTTGTATCTACTTCGGTCCATAATATGACCCAGGAAACGGGTAGGCAAATATTCGCACAGTTCATTGAGCTGAAAGAGAACTGACATGAGCAACAAACGGTAGAAATCAGGTGATGGCAATCACGTTGGCAAGATGTTCCAGCAGAGGAGAAACCATCGTGTTTGTTGGCAACACTGGACTTTGCAAAAGATCTTTATCCAAATACCCATGTTGCCCTCAACACACTTGTGACAATGCCAGTGTCTTCGGCAACTGCTGAACATTCCTTCAGCGCAATGAGACGTGTTAAAACGTATCTCAGGTCAACATTGGTAACGGAACGGCTTAATGCACTTGCTCTACTTCATATTGACAGGGATTTTGATGTCATCTTTGATAAGGTGGTGGGTGATTTTGCAGAAGGGAAAACCCGCAAAATGGCACTTCTCTTCAAGTTGAGTTGATGCATACAGTAACTGATGCTAGCAGATCTGTTCCTGACTGTTTCAAACAATTTCATGGTTGATTTAGCTCTTCTTGGTTCCTTTACAACGTTCATATATTTCAGAGAGTTCCGGTTTTATTGTTTTGTGCTTTAATGTACGTGTACTTTATGGGTCCATGGCCCTGGCTAGAGACCGCTGCCATATAGCTGGAATATTGCTGAGTGCAGACTTCAACAACAAACAAACAAATTGGATCTTTTGTTTAAAATTGCATCATAACTTACTGAGTTACTGATCTGGGAAATTGTTTCAAGATTGACAATTGCTTTGTCCAAGTTTTCAGCATGATGTTGCACCCACACGTATTCGTGTGACCACCATCTGGTCATTTACCAATGGATTCGTGGGTCTTTTAAGTGCGCAGGGTTGTGTACACTAGCGGTTGTGACAACACTGAAAGAGTCTGTACATAAAGTTGACTCAAAGGTTTTTACACCACTCGCTGGATCACTATGCCACAAAGATATCATTTCTAAAACATTACAGTGGTTTTAAATCAGTTTTGGATGCTGAAAAGTATATTCTTGAATTGTTTCCCGAAAAAAGACCTGTTGAGGATTTAAATGTTATGATAACCCAAATGCGTCACTATGTGCCAAATGTCTCCTGGTCTGTATTGATGACGAATTTCACTTTTTATTTATTTGCCCTTACTATAAAATAAGCAGACAACAGTTGTTACGTGAATATTATTATAAGAATCTGTCTGCTTCAAAAATGTATCAACTGCTAGCATCCACTTACACAAAACTTTTTAAATCTTTGTCGTTGTATATGAAAAGAAAATTGCCAATTTGATATTATTTGTGAATGAATGATAAACCGGCATGTGCACTGTGTGCAGTTATTATGTATTAGCAATATGGGTCACGTGGCCCCAAATACTAACAAGTGTTTGCCACTGATATGGCAATGTCCCCTGCCGCTAAAGAATGGAATATCTATATTTACTACTTTTTATTTTTGGGTCACATACAAGATGCCTGAATTGACTGGTGTCTGCATAATCACCCAATGTAGGCTGTCAACATACTTGAAAACATTGGGTGCAATGTTTTATGAGATATCGCCTTTAAATAGCGTGCAAAGTGTCGTGGTGACCTTGAAGATAAGGTCAAGGTCACCCAAAATCAACTGGTGTCTGCGTAATCCCCCAATGTAGGCTGTCGACAAATTTGAAGACATTGGGTACAACAGTCCATGAGATGCCATGTTAAGAAGAGTTTGAAAAGTGTTCAAAGTGTCGTGGGGACCTTGAAAATAAGGTCAAGGTCACCTAAATAAACTGGTGTCTGTGAAATCCCCCAATGTAGGCTGTCACCAAATTTGAAGACATTGGGTACAACAGTCCATGAAATATCGCGTTAACAAGAGTTAAAAGCGTGCAAAGTGTCATGATGACCTTGAAGAGAAGGTCAAGGTCACCAAAATAAACTGGTGTCTGCGTAATCCCCCAATGTAGGCTGTCACCAAATTTGAAGACATTGGGTACAACCGAGATATCGCGTTAACAAGAGTTTGAAAAGTGGCCAAAGTGTCGTGGTGACCTTGAAAATAAGGTCAAGGTCACCCAAATCGACTGGTGTCTGCATAATCTCCCAATGTAGGCTGTCACCAAATTTGAAGACATTGGGTACACTAGTTCATGAGATATCGCGTTAACAAGAATCGGGACGTACTTACGGACGCCACTGAATACATAGTCCCCCATTCCGCGTTGCGGCGGGGGACAATAAACTTGTCACTTGTCAATAGGTATCAAGATGTCAAGGAATCAGTAATAAAACAAAACACATTCAAATGACATAATGGCATTTAATATACATACATAAAAACACAACAGTAGTTAGATGTCATTGTTTTAGTTCTTTCAACATCTTTCTCCAGTGCAATTATTATTATTTTGACATGTACTATAGGTTCCAGAGTATTTTCAGGTGAACAGCTGGAGTTGCCTTTATGTGTGACAGTGCCACTGGTCTGGCAATATATACTCATCTTTTCCAGGCATCTTCACTATTTAATATTGATTCTAAAACACATACTTACATCGTCAACATGAGATTGCTTTTAGATATTACGGAAATGTTTATGCTGCCTTTTATTTGAAATAAATTAAACCCTTGTTTTAGTTCTCAGCCCAAAACAACCTTGAGGACCATTTGGAAATGATATCCATCCAAGATCTCCTCATGAGTAAAATGTCACATACTGGATCATCTCTTTAAAATGAAATGGACTGTTTTATCAATGGTGTCTTGCTCAGAAGTCCTTCTTCCTTTCCAAGCCATGCGTGAAGTCCCAGTGTGCCCGCCACTCGTCTGCCCCAAACAGCGCCTTCTGTGTGTCCCAGCCCTGCAGCGCCATCTGGTGGAGGAGTGCAGGAACCATGGCAACCAGCTTGTAGGATACCTGCAGGATCTTGTGAATGTTGTCTGGAGAGAAGAGAGTGAGTGAGTGAATTGTTTAATGCTGTAGTGGGCATCTGCAGCTCACAATTTATTCAGGACCATAGTGACATTATCACAGTTATAGTACTGCAATCTACATGGTATTCAGGAATCTAGTAATCAGTATGACAGTATTAGTACTGAAGCTGACAAAATATTCTGGTCATCTTGTGGGAATTATGACAGATAGAGTACTGCAGCATTCAGAGAAAATAACAGTGATTTACAACTTGTTTAACGGCACATATCTCTTGTTGTTACACTCACCTTCTATCATACCAGCAGCAATTTCCTGCATTTCTATACTCAGATTCTGAAACAAACGTAGATCAAGGACAATAAAAATTTGTTCTGTGAAAGCATAAGCAGTTTTAACAAATAAGGTTTTTAAATTATTATGTGGAATAGTGTTTCTACAGGATATGTAATCAGAATATGTTTGAGAAATGTCAATATGTTTTCCAACTCCATTTCTGAATGCAGTAAGATGTTACTTTAATGCTATTATCATGATCTTCAAATATGGACTGAATGAACAGTTTTGTGAAGATTATACTGACTAAGTGAATTGAGAAAGTATTGTACCTGTTTGTCCTGGAGATTATTAGCCACATACTCTATCACCTCAGCCTGCACCAAACTCTGGACCTGGTCTGTGACAGTGCTGTCTTCATGCAGGACAATGTAAACACAATCTGAAACACACACCAACACTGTTGTCAGTCTCCGGACACACACCAACACTGTTGTCAGACTCCGGACACACACCAACACTGTTGTCAGTCTCTGGACACACACCAACACTGTTGTCAGTCTCCGGACACACACCAACACACTGTTGTCAGACACCCACTGTTGACACACACTGTTGTCACTGTTGTCACTGTTGTCAGTCTCCGGACACACACCAACACTGTTGTCAGTCTCCGGACACACACCAACACTGTTGTCAGTCTCCGGACACACACCAACACTGTTGTCAGTCTCCGGACACACACCAACACTGTTGTCAGTCTCCGGACACACACCAACACTGTTGTCAGTCTCCGACACACCAACACTGACACACACAACACTGTTGTCAACACCAAGGCTGTTGTCAGTCTCGGACACACACCAACACTGTTGTCAGTCTCCGGACACACACCAACACTGTTGTCAGTCAGTCTCCGGACACACACCAACACTGTTGTCAGTCTCAGACACACACCAACACTCGACACACACCAAGTTGTCAGTCTCGGACACACACCAACACTGTTGTCAGTCCGGACACACACAGTCTCGGACTGTTGTCACACACCAACACTGTTGTCAGTCTCCAGACACACACTAACACTGTTGTCAGTCTCCGGACACACACCAACACTGTTGTCAGTCTCCGCACACACACCAACACTGTTGTCAGACTCCGGACACACAGCCATGAGGGTTTCATTCTTTTGTTTGTTGTTTAACTCCACATGCAGCCATATTCCAGCTATATGGCGGCGGTCTGTAAATAATCAAGTCTGGACCAGACAATCCAGTGATCAACAGCATGAGCATCGATCTACGCTATTGGGATGAGATCACCTGTAGGCACCAAGTCAGCAAGCCTGACCACCCGAGCTTATGACAAGCATGGGTTGCTGAAGACCAGTTCTTACATGGATCTTCAAGCAGCAGATGGGCTTGGTGACAAAATACGCCTTAGCTGCACAGGTTAATTCACTGTCAAGAGTTACTGGCAAACAAGGATAAGCTGGACCGGCACAAAGAATGCGTTTACGAGAAGTAGGCAGAGCACAGCAATGAGCAAACCAATTTGGTTTGTGAAAGGTAGAGCAGATGTAGGCTAGTGCATGACGATGAAATTGATTCCGCACATAGCTGCCACACCTTGCTCATAAGACTCACGTGGTCAGAGTAGCACTACACTTGATCGCGAACAACCTGGGGCCCCTTCGCTCACAATTCACAATGGCAAGCGCGAGTGGGCGGTACTCATACATGCTAATACGGGTCAGTTGTCAGGTTGGAGCTCAACTTATCCTTGTTTGCCAGTAGTTATCTACATATCATTCTAAGATCAGGGATTGTGTAACAGAGTTGTATCCCTTTGTTCACTCTATGCATGTCTGTTCTATCCGTTTCTACTGTATCTAAATGTATCAAAAACTTTTCTTTCTTTTTTTTTAGTATTTTTTTACAATTTTTTAAAAAATTACATAAAAACGTAGACAAGGCACCAGTTTCCTTAGGTCACATTGTATCAGACACCACACTGTACACATAAACCAAAATACCTTCACAAAATAGGGAATAAGTAATTTTCCAGCAACGTCATTGTGGGGGACACCATAAATGGGCTTTACACCAGTGACAAATTTAATGCTACACCCTGCCCCTTCACGAAAGAACAATCAATGGTAATTTAGTTATGAATTTAATGTTACTCACTTTTCTGCCTGTTGAGTGCTAACATATACCGTCCTTGCCTGTATATACTCTCCAGCACATCTAGATCATGCATTCTGAAAACAACATCAATGAACATAACCATTCAATGTTTGATTCATTGTCAAGTAACTGGGCCCTAAAACAAGAATGTAACCTCCTTCTCAAGAAAAACTGCAGAGCTTCACATTGCAGCTTATGGTTCAAATCACCCATAATGCCTGAAACATACAGGAATGATTTCATATCATAGGGGCTATTATACAATAATAATAATGGACATTATATGGCACCTGTATCCACACCCTTGTCCATGCTACAGGCATTGTTAACCTGGTTAAACCATGCTGCCTCTGAGGCACTGAAGGTTAACAGTCATATGACTTATCCCACCGGGTACCCATTCACTGCTGGGTGAACAGAAGCAATTTTGAACAAACGTACTCGGCTAAGTACAATGACACCACAAAGCCCTGCAGTCATGAAAATATTACAATTATACAAACACAGCCTAAAGTCAGTGAAGGCAATATGGGCCTTCAAAAAAATATGACAAGTGACCTCCAACAATTCCAGCTAAATCAAAAGGTCATTTAGGCCACCAAAATAATACACGATTTAAGAGCTCTTACTGAAATACTTACTTTTTACAAACATCACTTAAAGATGACCCCAGTTTGATAGAAATCTTCCTTTTTATTGCTAAAATCAAAGAAAGAAAGACGATGAAATAGATGATTTTTGGATACCATATTTATTCCAAAGTACAGAATGAGGTAAAACTGGGTCATGTGATCAAGATTACTGCATGTATACTGGACAAAAATAGTTAGGGATATATGTAAATTTTGAAATTATGAATAATGATCTATTCATTCATTGACAGACACACTGATAAAATATCAATCATAAAAATACCAATATCCCTAACTTATTTTGTCCAGTATATATAACAATATACACTGATGGATTATAGTCCATTTGGCTGAAAAGCGGACCGATGAAATGCAATCTAACTTGAAAACTAATAAACATATAATACTCAATGAAACAGTGATTTTGCAGAAACTATGTACTAAAAATAAGAAAGTTGTTTAACAAACTATCACTGAAATATTGACACAGTTCACTACAAAGAGAGGAACAGCCAGGTGTGCATAGATAGGATGGAGTGAGTGAGTGACTTTGGTTTTACGCCGCTTTTAGCAATATTCCAGCAATATCACGGCGGGAGAAAGGATGGAGACGGCACAGCACAGGTAAATGAATCAATAACTTTGTTGGCACTTGTGCACATGCTTCTTGAACACCTGGCTGTCCCTTTCTCTGTGTGTTCTTTCTATGTATAAGTGTGTTTGATGTATGGGCATTTACAACATGGTTACAAACCAATCACACCTGTGAACATCTGGGTTAGAATTGACCTTCAGCAACCCATGCTTGCCATAAGGGTGGTCAGGCTCGCTGACTTGGTTGACACATGTCATTGTATCTTAATTGAGTATATTGATGATCACTGGATTGTCTGGTCCAGAATTGATTATTGACAGTCCGCTGCCATATAGCTGGAGGTGAGGTGAAATTGGGTTTAACGCCGTGCTTGAGAATATTTCGCTCATATGACGGTGTGTGTATGTGTATGTGCAGCTGCTTGTACTAGCCCAGACTTAAGCTGGTTTTATAGTGCTAGCCCACTGAGATACCATGCCGCAGTGAAGCATGCATACCCAACTCAGACACATACTGACTCCGAGCCGACCAGTCCTTGTTGTACCCATTAATGCCGAGCGCCAGGCAGGTACCAACAAGTACCATATTTTAACGTCTTTTGGTATGACGCGGTTGGGGATCGAAACCCGCGACCTTCCGCTCTCCGGGTGGACGCTCTAACCACTACACCACGGAGGCGGTTACAATATAGCTGGAATATTGCTGAGTGTGGCATTGAACAACAACAAACAAACAAACAAATACAATCCAGTCAGACTGCTATCCCTAATGACTAGTCTGATGGTATACTTGTAATCCAGTCAGACTGTTATCCTAATGACTAGTCTGATGGTATACTTGTAACTCTTGGTTGATGTCCACCACTCACCAAATATGACAGGTTCTTGTTTGTTTACTCTACGGATGGAGGGAATCTCTGCTGACTTGAAATATGACTGTAGTAGAATATGGAGACGGGCTTGGTTTAATGTTTCCATGACAACTGATGTAACAGCTGAGTAGTTGGCATACAGATGAACAGCAGTGAATACCAGATATAACATCCATATGATACTGGAACACAATAGGTAACATCCACATTTCACCACTAAACCACATGTGCAACCATATCACTGAAACATGTGTATAACATCCATACTTTACCACTAAAACCATATGTGCAACCATATCACTGCAACGCAATAGGTAACATCCATATTTTACCACTAAACAATATGTGCAACCATATCACTGCAACACAGTATCTCACATCCATATTATACCACTAAAACAATATGTGCAACCATATCACTGCAACGCAATAGGTAACATCCATATAATACCACTAAAACCATATGTGTAACCATATCAATGCAACACAGTGTCTCACATCCATATTATACCACTAAAACCATATGAGCAACCATATCACTGCAACACAGTGTCTCACATCCATATTATACCACTAAAACCATATGTGCAACCATATCTAAACTGCAACCATATCACTGCAACACAGTGTATAACATCCATATTTTACCACTAAACCATATGTGCAACCATATCACTGCAACACAGTATATAACATCCATATTTTACCACTAAACCATATGTGCAACCATATCACTGCAACACAGTATATAACATCCATATTTTACCACTAAACCATATGTGCAACCATATCACACTGCAACACAGTATATAACATCCATATTTGCCACTAAACCAAATATGCAACCACATCACAAATGCACATAACATCCATAGGTTGGTTATACTAAACCACTTAGAGAACCATATCACAGTGCAAAAAGATATTACTGCTATGATATAACATATCTTTAGAAAAACACAACACAAGACTTAAAGAAACTAATACTTACAATTGATGACCAGTTACCATGGGAACCAGCACTAGATTACAAATAAGGGCTGCCAGATTTACAAGTGTTTCCTGCAAAAATACCACATGAATATGTCAGAACCAAATCTGAAAGAAAAGTATTTCAATGATAATATAGGGATATAAGAAAAGAAAATGATTACCCTCCATATCACAAAGTACCTCTTCAATGTGAGACTCTTTGAACCAAGGTTCTTTGTAGTTTTAGCCATGACTGTGTTATACTGTTCCTGTTTTGATAGGGATATTTTTATCTTTCCCTGATACACATAACAGATTCTCAAAACATGTCACGTTTATGAGTAAACAGAATGACATGTGTGATAATCCCTATCTCTATCAAAAGTTGAGTACTATATAACTGACTGCTGCCTAACACAAGAGTCACTCGCTGGTGGCAGTTTAGTATGGTAATGGTTTTTAGTGTCTGTCCTTTCCGCAAACATGCTCCTCATGATGATTGATAAGTTTGATTAACAGTATACTTTATGATCATACTAAAATCAAACAGAACAATTCATTTCAGAAAATATATTCAAGCAAAATATTTCCATTCTGATACCATCTGATCGAAAAGCATTACCTGGCTGCCATCTTTAGCTGACACATCCGCCATGTTGTTTCTGCGAGCCTGATGCTGCGTTAGAGCAGCTCTAGTGGCGCCCCCTGCCACACCAACCACCGACTGCAGACAAAACCAACCAGGTGTTAGATTAAACACAGGTGCAACACAATAATGTGTTTCATTCATCTTGAAACGACAAAAACTAGACATATACGACCTGCCACTGACCTTGCACACACCTGCCACGCACACTATGGGGGTGAAGTAATGCCGGGAAAGTTCGGTGCCAGTATTTCCAGGAATATTGCAAAGTCGTTTAGGATATCTGCAAACAACCTGTCAACACAAGTAGACATGATATCACACTGGTGTATCCCTCTCATTTCCAGCCTTCAAAAAGTTTCAAAAGAAATTTATACAGTAGAAAATGGAAGAAGGACAAATATCAAGGTTTAGCTAAAAATGGCCATCACCAAACCTGGTCTTTGGACAATAATTTAAATGTTTAGAAAATATTTAAATGTATCACACATGGATCCATTAGGTGTCGGTGTCTATAGAAGTGTAAATCTGAATCACAGCAACACCTGCTGATTTGAAAAAAAACAGCATACAGTTCACTTATCCATCAAAGTTCAAAATATTTTGCACATACATTTAGATCAGACATGTAGAATGTAAGCCAGACTTTTAATGCTGTCTTAAAGCAGTATTTCGGTTATATCACAGCATGTCACTTTGACATGGAAGGAAACCTGACCATGCTGTGTTTAACATAGCAGATATTTTGCAGAAAAACCCAGAATAATATATCAAGTCATGCCAGGATTTGAACTTACAACCATATGTTTTCGGTGTGCTAAAGGGACATAACTCTGCACAATGAACTGCCATGATGTAACTGAACGATATATGATTGGGCCACCCCTGACAAAAGTAAGAAAAGAAACCTTGTATTCAACATGTTCAAAGATATTTCAGTATTTTGATTTAATTTCTCATTTTTTCAAAATAATATCTTAACTCTGGAATATCAACAAATGGATGTCTCTGTCTCATCGTGTTCATAGTTCAGTGTTTTTGCATATTCTTTAAACCTTCAATCGTTGGCAAGACAAAACAAATACCAAATCAAAATTATATTCTAACAGATCCTACCTCCATCTTTTTGCGTCACAGTCAAGATTTGTACTGGAAACAAACAAATACAATAATCTAGATAAGTCAAGCAAAGCACCACTTCCATGCTGCATTTCATAATAGATATGACAGTTATGAATTGACTGTCTCTGATGAGTGCACGTTACGTCAATAGGTATTGCAAAGGTATTTTATAGATGGCTAGTTCGATGTATATGAGCACAGTCATTAAATTTTCAGCTTTACGACAATCATCAAATAATCTCGTTACATTGTTATCTGTGAAAAGTTCATGCAATCAAACCAGTCTCTGTTTGTTGTTTGAAGCTCTTCTCAGCCATATTCCAGCTATATGGCGGCAGTCTGTAAATAATCGAGCCTGGACCAGACAATCCAGTGATCAACAGCATGAGCATTGATTTACGCAGTTGGGATAAGATGACATGTGTCAACTAAGTCGGCTAAACTGACCACCTGATATTCTTACGACAAGAATGGGTTGTCAAAGACCAATTGCCGGATCTTAACGGGTAACAATAATTTCTGAATGAGCACAACTGGTTATGTACTGCTTTCTGCGATGTGTAAGAAATGACAAGAGACATGTGAAATGGACTTTATCCCAGTTTGGGGAATCGATCCAAGGCTCTTTGGCAGATGTACACTTTGATCACTAGACTACACCTGGATTGTACAGAAGGAGAAGCAGTCTCACCCCTGTATCCAGGCAAAGACGATGCGTCCCAGCATCCCAGTCCCATCTGCAGCAACAACAGTAGTCAGTACAGTCACACATTTACAACATCGCCTTTGAATGGCATTTAGAGAAAGTGAGTGAGGTTTGTTTTACGCCGATTTAAGCAATATTCCAGCAATATCACAGTGAAGAACACCAGAAATGGGATTCACACATTGTACCCATGTGGGAAATCGAACATGGGTCTTTGCCATAACAATCGAGAGCTTTAACCACTAGGCTACCCCACTGTCCTAAATGGCATTTAGAAGTGATACACATACAAGGTGAGAATTTATGGATGTCAACTTTTTTATTATGAGGAACACAACACATATCAAGATGGAGGTGTAGGAATATACTCCAAAACTCTGTGTTGACATAAATAAATTCTACCTTTAACCTTAACAATATCCTTTCAAAACAAAAGGCTTTACAGCAACTACCCAATAATGAAAATTAGCTCAGGTTGACGTTATTGTATTGACAGCTTTACTATATTAGTCCCTTGTGGTATTTCTCTCATCTATCATCAGCCATTAAATGAAAAAATCCCTAATCCACTAACTGACTGGGTTACGTTTCTTGTAACAGATATTCTTCATGACGGCCAAACCAACTATTTATTTCATATTTTAACCTGACATGTCAAACATTGAAGAACATTGAAAGCATCAATGACATAAACAGCATCTGCTTGAAACATAAATAATATAAGTGAGGCCTTTTCTTTTGATTTGGAGCAATTACAAGTACTTTACTATGAGCAATTCGCTCCAGATATTCTTGCTAGGCATCACAATAGCAGGGTGTTGGGGTAGCCAAGTGGTTAAAATGTTCGCTTGTCACGTCGAAGACGTTAAAGTCCCCCGATCTTTGGTTCGATTCACCACTGAGATTGGATGAACAATAGGTACCAAATATGAAAAGAATCCCATTTTTGGTGTCCCCCCTGCAGTGATATTGCTGGAATATTGCTAAAACGGCATAAAACCATACTACTCACTCACTCACTCATCCCAATATCACTAATGGCCAGTGTTAGGGTAGTTACAACCATATTATGAAGATCGTTTTCTCATGTGAGTCAGCGAGTTTGGTTCCATTCTGCTTTTAGAAATATTCCAGCGATATCACACAGTGGGCACACCAGAAACGGGCTTCACACACTGTACCCTTGTGGAGAATCAAACCTGGGCCTTTGGTGTAATGGGCGAACACTTTAACCGCTGAGCTACCCCACTGCTCCTCCCATGGTATATCCAGCAGGTAACTGAGATCAGTTTCCCCCACAATATCCTATCTACAATGTTTGATACAGACAGTTGTTGTCTCATAAACACCTTTCAGCAGCCAGGTCATTGTAGCAGCCAGCACCGTCGCTGTTTTGTCCCCAACACCAACTCCCTTCAACATCGCCTGAGCAGCCATTGTACCTGTGATACTGCTAGCGAACGCCTGGATAGAAGCAAGTCATGCATTTATAATTTTCAGAAATTACATGTTACCTGTGTCTAAAACACAGGAAAAGGCTTTACAAGCTGAAGTGGACTGTTCACCTCTAGACCAAAGACAAAATACAATGCATATATCTTTATAGAAAGTTTACAGTTAATTTTACATTGCTAAAGGGGAAAGGTTGCCAGTATCTTTAATGAATCCAGATGTAAGAGGCAAATAGGCAGTTATCCTGGGCCCACATGCACAAAGTGATTTTAGTGCTAAGACCCCCATACTCTAACATAGATTTAAGACTGTCCTAAGATTGTTTTGTGCATGTGGGCCCTGATAATGTTTCAGTGTGACCCACTGCACACTCAATGTTCAGACAATCCATGTCAGACATGCTTCACTCATTCACTAACATTCAGTTTAAACAAGGACACAAGGTTTAACTACATACATCATGTTGGTACAGTTGGTTACCCATGGTCCCTGTTCTAATGCCATAAACCCCATAGGAACTGATCGATGTTACAATTACAATCACCAGATTCTCTGGTCCTGACTCGGGGAAAATCATGGTTGATTATTAGGTTTAATATTTTTTACCTGAATTGTCTGATTTTGTACAACAAAACAATCAAGATAGAGAATTCACCTGCACTGTGTCCCAGACTTGGTAGGCAACATAATCCTCACTCACACTCTCAGGGTAGCCTTGTGGTAGAAACACTGACTGAAATCAAAACAAACATTGCCTAATACAATACAACACATGAAGTCTATAACAATTGGGAAGTCTAAATAAGTAGATTCATCTGAAAATGAAAAAAGTCTCCTAGATCCTTTTAGTTTTTATTATATTTTATCGATGTTTATTAACTGTTTTTTTTCTGTAAAATATTTCATTTCGGAGTCTCAGTGAGAGTCTATGATGTGCCATTGTTAGCATCGTTAGTTATCACTATAGTTAGTCCACTGTTACATAATTAGTCCCACAGAAAATGTTTAGTTCACAATTAAACAATATTGATATTGTAATTCCTTGTACATTTCCACAACAACACATAACTTGTTCAATGTCATAATGAAAATATCACAGTGGCATCTTTTAACGTTGAATTACTAGATGGAAAACATTTGATCACGGTTATGCAAATGAAAATTCATAATTGTTTCCTAAACTTCAGTTCCTGGAATTGTTTAATTACTTGCACTTAGCTTGTGATATATTATCCCATTAACATGTCAGATCTTTAAAGGTTAGAAAATATTTAGTAATGACAAAACAATTTCATATACATGTACATGTCATTGATATATTGCAAACACAGCATTGGTTTGAAATAAACAAGATAAACATTGAGCTCTATCAGCATAAATATTGGAAAATTTAAGGAACTGTCACACTTGATATAAAAGCTTTAGAGAAATTAACTTGAAATGCTTTGTTGCGGATTAGGTGGCTGACTGACACTGGAAGCATTACCAGTCACAAATGAAATATTCATCAATGCAATATTGGTCAATCATTGCCAAAACAGATTGCAATTGCAGTACTACCAGATCACTTGCATGACTTAATTGGCAGTGATCTGATACAAGGGAGTATTTGAAATGATAATAATTATGCAACATTAAATTAGTTAACTATTTCATCTCTTTCCAAATGTGTTAATAAATGTTGGAAATGACATACTTCTGGGATTTATTTTACGGTCCCAGTGTGCATGGTGTGACTGAAACAGCTATTCCTGCGCCATGACTGTGGAAAGTATGTATTTCATGAAAACAAAATCTGGGTGTACGGAATACTAAAGGATTTGGTGAAGTGTGTGTTTGTCTAAGAAACAGTGCATATGTCGAGAGGGTTTAGTACTTCTGTGGCACTTTCCTCTGTGACCTATGAGATTTTAATTGATCTAGATGAAATTTCCCGCTGTGGCCTATGGTCGTTTTGTGTGTCCCTGAGTGGCACTTGTGTGCAGTAAGCATGACTGTTAAGGTGTTCGGACATTAACACGGTATTTGATTCAGATTGACCTTGATTGGCAGATTGATAGCATTATATGAGAGGTTGTTACGAGAAACATGGTTTTGTTCATACACAGTTTGCTTGCATGCATGCACTTCTACTGAAATGTTATCTATTTTGTTCCTGTAGTTCAAATACCGATGTGAAAGAGATTTACGACAGATCTTGGGTTCACAGGCCCCTAAACTACCGGAACAATAACTTAATTTAGGTTTAGTGGTTTGGGCATACTATCCTGCTACAGGGGCTGGAATTGGTCTGTGTTGGGTATTTGAGACAATAGTCGTGCAGCGGTCCTATGACATCAACACATATTTGTGCAGATTACAGATTGGTGGAAAATATTTATTCAAGAGTCAGGTTGCTACGAGGTTCCAAATTGTTCAGGTACCCACTCGAAAGAATTGTGACACAGAAGTGTATTTTGGTGATCTGTCCACAACAGACAGTTGACCGTCGGACTTCCTCAAATAGTCTTTTTCAAAGGCGTTGATCCATAAATTTCCTGAAAAACAATCATATTCTGCTTATCCTCTTTCATTTCGACGATCATCAATTTCTAAATTCAAAAAGCAATAATTCCAAACATAAACAAAAACATCAACGTAAACACTGCCGCATGTGCATGGGCGCAGCCATATTGTTTTCAAGCGCATGCGCACCAAGTTGCTGAATATGATTGGTTCAACTGAGAACCGGAACAGGTTTTGCACAAAATTCAAAGTGCCGTTGTTGCTTGTTTTCTGGTGGATATAATGTTTGGTCAAAAATGAGGTTTATTTAGATATTATAGAAGGTTGGTATTGTCACCATTTCGAGTCAGTAAATGTTTGATGTGCAAGCATTTCAGCACAAGTTGGATAAATTCAAGATTTTCTCACAAGAAGACGATGATCAGGCGATCAAAATGTCGTCTGTCCCTGCATTGTCCCTAGTAATATTTATGCAGAAGTTGAACCTATTCTGCCGGGAACCGATTTATTATTTATGTAAAATGTGCCTTTCCAGTCCTTTCTATGTACTTTTGATTATGTATTACGTTTAACAATCGGTGAATTATTTGTCAGCCTCGTTGTGGTTCTAAAATTGCCAAATCCGATGCAGGTTTTCTCCCAAATATGTCTCATGATCATGATGATGATCAGGTTGGGGAAACCTACCGAAATGGGATATAATAGGCCGTTTTGCCTATTTTGTGATAGGCCGATTGGCCTATAATTATGACATTTATCAAATAAATTTGAAGTGGTGCATTTCCGCATGAGGATATTAACATCATTCAAGTTTTGATGTCCTAAGGTTTTCATTCAAACCCTTTTTGAGCATGTTCATCACATAATAAAGGAGTTTGGAAATTGCTTATTGAATATAAGTCTATAATATTTTTGACAATTTTCACTGAAGATTAATGACATAGATATTTAGTTTTCAAAATGAAACTCTGTGCAAAAATTGTGTTCTGAAATGAAACATCTTTTCCTGAACATGATATAAATTTCTATTTTGTCCAAAAACTTACTTTCTTCAAGCTCAGTGTTCTGCGTTACAAAAAGACTACGAATAGCGTCTGACCCTCTGACAACCGCAGCAAATGATTTGGCAACGGTCAGACAGAAGTCTACAACCTGCCGGCCCCAGTGTCTGACTGTATATTTCACAATGACTTTGACTGAAGTTGTTTTATGTGACATGTGACACTTGTTTGCTGTTTATAAACCTTATGTTTGTTAATAATTTCAATGTCAATTATAAGAAATATTAAATCTGAAATGTGTGTATAATTTTATTCCATGGGTCCTGTGCATTTTCAATGGGTCAGACAGACATCTGAAACTTACAAGACCCAATGTCCTGTGACTTTGAAACACCATTCGTGAACACTGCAAGCTGAGGAGGTCCATTAACTATTCATCTATATGATCATATAAAACCATTTCGTGCGGAAATTGATAGTTTGTGAAATAATAATAATAATAATAATGATCAAATATAGCCCGATCGTCCTATAGCAAAATAGGCAGAATGGCCTATAATATCCAGCTCGGCCTATAAAAGGTTTCCCCAACCTGATCATCACCATAGGTACTGATTTGCTAACATTTCTGTTTGTGCGTCAGTGTTACCTACAGTTATATTTTTATTTGTCTTATGGCAGGAATATATATATCTACAAGTGTTTGTTTTATCATCTTGATCATGTTGATCGTGTTCACCTTCAACTGATGTAAGCTGTGGTGTCCCTTATGCATTATGATTGGATGATAAATGATGCCCAGATTCTAATTTCACACAAAAGAAAAAAGACTGAAACTTCTTCTACCCCATGGTTGAACACGCACAATCATGATAATCAAGCACTTGTTTGCCTAGTCCTATCTTGTTAACTTGTTTGTGAAGTCAACATCAAACAGTCAACATCATACAGTTTCTGGGCTTGATATTAGCTCCACCAGTAGCTATATGCTTTATGACCCTTGTATGTGCCTCTTTTTGACCAGATTTTACACATCATATTGCACAATAAAATGCTGCAATCCAGTCAAGGTGTCCTAGCTGGTTGATAATCAAGATATATATCAGGGCTCCAGATAATTTTTCAACATCAGGAGTACGTACTCCTTATTTTTTTAATATAGGAGTACAGGAAAAACTTAAGAGTACATTTAGAGTACTGAATGGAATTTAATGGAGTATCAGTAATCTTGTGTTTCGTTTCATATATGCACCACAACATTGCTACTCAGTACTCTTTTGTAAACAGGTAGAAAAACATTAAAACAAAACTTTTTCAGATAAATACGTCTGTAAATGATTCTAAGACCGTACACCATTGCTGTGGTGCGTATCTGCTACGTTTTCTTAATTATTTCCTACCGTATCATGCATATATTGTATCGGTACATACGCCGATATGTCCCTTATCTGGAGCCCTGTATATATTGTAAAACTGGTCTTATGTATGAAGCTTCTCAAATTACTTGAGCATCTTGATAAAAAGCATGAAAAGATGTTGAGAATATCTATAGCCACCCAATTGTTGATATATTTTCATGGTAATCAACAGAAATCGGCCTGGCAGTATAGGAACCAGATGTCAATTTCACTTTACAATTTTTACAGGGCATAGGCTTATTTGTCTACCCAGAACAAAACTCCCAAATTCCAGCCTAGTTTGGCAAGGGTGAAAACTAAACTTTTGCCTGAAGATGGTCAAGTCCAAATTCCATTATGTTTGAGACAAACAAACTGTCATCTAAATGTTGGTTACCATGTATTGACTCAGAATGAATCATCATTCATGATTTACATAGTACATACATGAGTTGTGTGATTGGCATTCTAGAAGTTGGTGAGTCAATGATATATCATGAAGCATACAACTTTATGGATAACAAGTTCAGTTTATTGCATAGAGAGGTGTTTCAGTGTAGTTTTCTGGACCTATTGTGTACTTTTCTTCATTGTGATTCTATAGTTTTACTTAGGATTAGAAATGGTCCTCAGCTGTCTATGCTGATTGTACAGAGGAACTAATGGTTCAGCCTGTGACTTGATTGATAGCATGTCAGTGCTTATCATATCAATAACTGGTTAAGTGTGTGGTCAAAGTGTTGATCCAACCTTGATAATTCACATGCTGCCATCATAACTGAAAATACTGCTGAAGGCAGTGTTGAAAAACAAATATTATTAGGTATCATGGTAATATATTTTGTCTGTTCATTGTTTCAGAAAACCAATGATGAGTGAAACAGAGGGAAAGCGTTCACGTCGGCGGAGGTCAATCCGGCTTCATCGTCAGTCCTCTGTTCCCCTTCTCCCAGTTCCAACCGCCAACTGCGAAGACAATGAGTGTCCCGAGGGTGATCCCCCAGAGAGCGTCAACATCACTAATATGAATGTGTCAGTCTTCAGTGCATCACAGTTAGCACAGGACGATGATAAAGGAAGCTTCTGGGTAGAGGTTAATGAAGATACACGGCGGACCAGAAAATCTAGAAGATCCAACATTGGGTTTCAAGTGATCAAATATGCAAGCAACAATGATATTGCTGAATCTACTGATGCTCCAAGTACTCCAGTGTTGTTTGATGGCTCAGAAGGTAGTAAAACAATGGTGGGTTATGGTCAGTGTGAAAGCCCAGACATAGAGATACCCAGACTGCCTTGCTCTGAGGAGCCGTGCGACTTCGCAACACCAACCATGTACCACACATTAACTGAACCTGGGAGTCTGGGTAGATCAGGAACTAAAACTCCTTCTCTTTTGAGTTATCATGGTCACAATGCTTCTCCATGTGTCCAAACTCCATCCCAAGAAGTATTTGATGGAGGATTTGATGATGCATTTATGCTGGGCACGCCAATCACTCATCATCAAGTTGACAAGAGTTGTCCCCCTTCCTGTGAAGACGATAGCGAGGACAGTTTGCTCATAGGTACACCTGATCTTGCAAAGTTTAATAAAAATATTCGCTTCAGGTGCTCTCTGGACTTTTCAGAGCTTGAGCAGACGCCAGTGAAAGGGGAAGACATTTCTGCAGATGTCTCTCAAGATTCAGTTCATGAGTCACCCATTGTGGGTTTTGTGTATGATAAACTATCTGCCTCTGATTTAGTAAGGAGAAAGAGAGCCAAGTCACGTAGTAGCAATGAGAAAACCAAAAGTGATTACACATGGGACCAAACACCATCATTTAAGCATGGTACTCCAAGACGTATTATTGACACTAGCAATAACACAGGTAAACAAGATGTTCGAGAAGTCATCTCTAGCAGTCCCGCAGTTGACTCAGACATGACAGGAAGCTCCTTCATGTCTGTGGGACATGTGAATGTGTCGGTGAGAAGCTACAGGTCGACCTCCACAAGCTCCTCCTACACCAGTTGTGTGGAGGATGTCCTTAGTCAGCCCAGCACTAACCCCTCTCTCCTGAACTCACCAGCATATGCTCCCACTTCAAACCAAGATGTAATAGATTCACCCAGTACTCCTACTCCTTTGTTGGAAGAGTCAAATCATGATGCCAAGTCAACACCAGTAACCCTAGGGAAACAAGACACACTTAACCCTGAATGTCCAGATACAAGAGATCCAGTTTCACCTGGCTCCATTACAGCCAGTACGGACTGTCCAGGAAGTGAGCATATTGTTAGTGTATCTGAGACTGGGGAAGATTCAAAGAGCGAATCAAATACTGCTCCTGATGTGCCAGAAATGGAGCGAACATCCTCTTATCCTGAACCTAAAAGCAAGGAGCGAAGCATTACTTCTGAGGTGTGTGACTTGTTCCGTAATCTTGCAAAGAAATTTTCAAGCAGTGGCAAAAAGAGGAGGAAAACAGGCAGCTTGAAGAAGGTCAAGGAACGAGGAAGGGGGAGGAAGAGAGATGATGCTGGCACATCCAGTTCTTCTGCTGATGTCGTAAGAGGTTCTGATGTCCTGCCTGGCTTTGCTGATGTCCTGCCTAGTTCTGCTGAAGAGGCTGAACTATTCAGTTTCAGGAAGGATCTCTCAGAGCAGCCAACTCCTGAAAAGAAGCCAGCTGCAAGTGTATCAAAACAGTCTCTAGACTTCAGTCCATTCCTAGCACCTGGTCAGAACAGTATCATTCCTGATGAACAAGCTGAGCCACAATCACCCGTCTGGAAACTCCAGACCAGTGTCACCAGCAGTGATGTAGTTGTTTGTGAAAATGCAGCCTCTGTGAATTCACCAGTACTTGAAGTAACAGTCCTTCAGGAAAAATGTGTTAATATTGAAAATTGTGAAACAGTGGTTAATGAACCAGCTCAAAAAAGGCGGGGAAGGCCAAAGCGGAGATCATTGGAAACAGCTGTTCTTCACCAAGAATGTGAAAACTTTCGTGCTAATGAGCCAGAACAAAACAAAGAGGAAGTAGAAGAAACATCTGCTCTTCGAAGAAGCAGACGATCTCGCAGGAGTTCTCTGGAGATTTTCCGCTACCAGTCACACACTCCTGATGATGTTGTTCTAGAAGATTCACCAAACTCAGACAGCCCAGAAAAGGCTGTACCTGAAGTACAGCCCAAAAAGACAAGGAATTACAGAAAGGCAGCAGCAGCTTTGGAGGAAAACCTGGAGGATCTATACAGAAACAAGAACTATAAGGCCCCAGGGGAACGCATGTGGGAGACATTGTTTGAGTCGCCAGATAAGACCAAGCAGCCAGAGCTCTTGATGAGCAGACGCAAGTATCGGAGATCCCTTGCATTTGAAGTCATCCCCCCTTCCAAGATGAAGCGCCGTCTCCAGAGGGCAGTGTCTCAGGGCTGGGATGTTACGGGGAGGAAAAGGAAGCTAGTTCAGATGGAGGAAGTAAAGATGAAGATAGCTGCACTTAGTGCAGAGATAGAAACAGATCACAATATGATCACCATGTAAAGAAGTAAATAATATTTTATTTTTTCAGGCATTGTTAGTATCTTAGTCTTTTAAAAGAGCATATGCATAAAAAATACTTTGTTTGGTTATTTTGTTCTCATAAACTGAAGTTTGTGGTTAACTCTGTTCAGAATTGCCTTGCTTCATGGTTCGTTGGGTTGGTTTGTTGTTTAACGTTGGCCTCAGCAATATTCCAGCTATATTGCGCCGGTCTGTAAAATATCAAGTCTGGACCAGACAATCCAGTGATCAACATCATGAGCATCGATCTACGCAACTGGGATACAATGACATGTGTCATCCAAGTCAGCAAGCCTGACCACCCAATCCCATTAATCACCTTTTACGACATGCTTGGGTTGCGGAAGACCAATTTCAACCCGGATCTTCATGGGTAACCTTGCTTCATGTCGAGCCCTACATATTGGCAACATTCAAAATTAGTCTGCGATAAGTGAATATCTGGGGGGACTAACATTTTTCTCCAAAGCTGTAGTTTCATTAGCATGGTTACAGAGATTTAAGGTGAAAATGGAAGGCACTAAATTCAGATAGGGGGGAAAGTTTTACTTTGACCAAAACTGGGAAGTCCTTACTTCCTGAAAATTAAGGTATTTCAAATTAAATCAATATTGTATTATTTTGTTTAATGAAGCTTTGAAAAATTTGCTCCTGCTGCCAAGGAGTACAAGTAACTTGTATGCAGCTAAAATGTTACCTATTATCTGAACATGTGGGTTCCTATTTGACACCTATTTGTACAGAATCTTTGTTCGTGGGTTCACATTCATATTTTTGCACTTTCACAAACATCACAAAGTGATATGGGTAGTTGTGGTCACTAATGATTTTACCAAATCAGGTCCTGTTACTATGGTTACTAGTGGTCTTCCGATTAATTGAAATAATCGAGGATTAGTTGCAGTGACCAAACAACCAAGCAATTGATCATATACTGGACAAAAATATACTGAACAGCAAAAGAAACGCAATTTTCAAACAACTGAAATCTCATGAAGGTAAGCATGCATGTTTATGGAACGTTCATGGTAAAGTGACATAATGATCCGAGATGAGATGTCATGCAATTTGACGTCCATACGAACCATTCACACAAACACACCAACAGTGCAGCCAAACCATAATTTTAGCGCGTGCATCGACGGTTATGGATGAAAAGCATGCATTTCACTCTGAGGTATCCTTTATAAAGGTTTGTGTCAAAAAACAGTTCAGTATTGACGCTAGGAGGTGTACACACCACACAAACGATGCATAGACTAACGATTGAGCAGAGGGGAATGGCCATTGAAAAAGTTACACGGAGGTAGCTCTGCAACCGCTGTAGCTAGACAATTGGGCTGTCATTTTCCAACCATTACACGACTTGCTCAACGTCATCAGCAAAGCAGGTTGCTGCTGATTATCGCCGTACCGGACGGCAACAAGTGACAACTCATGCGCAAGATCGGTTCATCCAGGTCACTCATCTAAGGAACCAAACTCAAGCAGCAACAGTAACAACAGCCTTAGTTCTTGGGTCAAGGGGAGCAGTGCCAAACGATACGATTAGGCGGCGTCTTTGGGCTGCTGGAATCCACTGCCAAAGGCCATATGTGCGGCCAATTTTGGCACGTCAACAACGCCAGCGATGTTTGCAGCCCTCACACAGCAAGGGTGTCGATGGATTATCTGGCTCAGAACAACATTAACGTCTCTTTCCCCGGATATGGCTCCCATTGAACATTCTGGGACGAAATTGGACGGAGGATAGCTGCAGATAGACGAACACTCACACTTACACAATTGGAATAGAGATTGGTGTTTGAGCAGAACCAGTTGCCTAAGGCATTCTTTCAGACTCTAGTGAACTCAATGAGGCCACGTTGCACAGCCTGTGAGCAAGCTCAAAGGTGTCTACACGCGCTACTAAACATACTGTCACTTTACGCGTTCAGGGGTATCTCCATTTGACGGACTGTGATCAATTTGAACTTATTGCAATTCCATGTCAACAGCAACTTTTAGCTGTTAAATTGACAGTGTTTTCTATAGAATAAATGATTAGACATAATTTTGGTTGTCTTCTATTCAAAAACTTGACAAAAAGCCAGACTTGCGTTTCTTTTGCTGTTCAGCTTAGTTAGGGATACAGTCAAACCTCGATGAGTCGAATGCCGGTGTCTCGAATATTATGCATAACTCGAAGTACCTGTCGGTCCCGACCGTTCCCTGTTATAGTTGTCATCATTTGAATACCGGTTACACGAATTCATCTCATAAATACACACGATGACTCGAGAAGGAAATTTGGTCCCTTGAGATTCAAACAACAGCAATCTTGTATACATAAGCCGAAGTCAGTCTATGGGCAGTTAATTGGTGTTGCAAACTGATCCAATTAACAAACCAGCGTGGCTCATTCGTGAACAACTCGTGTTATTCCGGGACAAGCCGGTTACGGAAAGGAGCGAGTGGTGACGAATGCAGCGCGGCTCACACCTTTCCGCCATTGACGGGTGAGTTCAAAAGGCAGATTAGTGATTTTACGGAAATCACTGTCTGTGCTAATCAGACTGGAACTGATAAGGTGCCCCTATTACTGATATGGAAATCATTAGATAAACCAGGAAGACTATATAAGGGGGAGTGGTCACTCCTCGAACAGCCCCTAAGCGTATGCCTCGGCTCGTCACGTGACCAGTGTAGCCAATATGGCGGCAGCGTAGTTTTTAAGATTGAGCCTGGTTTATTTGCAACAACTGATTACATACGCTGAGTGTTGTGACAACTGAAAACCTATCCCTGTTGTAGAGTATCCCTGGATAAACAAATGCGTAGGAGGGGGAATTAGGACTGGATCATCTTTTTTTCTACCCTCATAGACATACCTATGTCTCGAATACATCGATAAGTCGGGATTTGACTGTATATGTAAATTTTGAAATTATGAATAATGATCTATTTATTCACTGACACACTGATAAAAGCCCCAATCATTAAAATGCCAATATCCCTAACTTATTTTGTCCAGTATGATTCCTCATAATAGAACACAAACAATTTTAGAATTACTGTTTTAATGTGAAACACTTGACGATGGAATGTATCTTAGAAGTTGTCAGGGCCTGAAAACGTCTTAAATTCTTAGGAAACTTTGACTTTCTGAAAAGTCATGACTGAATATTTCTTGAGGACTCAGGGAGGTTTATCTTCTTGATATATTAGTCATCACTTTAAAGCAGCAAGATGCGTCATTTAACACTGGATGTGAAATTTGTGCCGTTTCTAAATAAAACAACAGAAACCCACATGTTTTTCCTTTATACTAATTAAAAATTATACTTATCTGCATAAACAACCTGAACAGGTAAATCTGCAAAATGATGCTAACCAATTTTTTTCGATGATTGCTCGTTGGTAATGATCCAATCATCAATCGTGAGAATTCAACCAATTCCCAACACTAATGGTTAACATATCTCTGGGGCACCATGAGATGTATAAAATGAATATAGTGTGTCCTTTAACTGTCAGATTCTTTAGTCGTGAAATACCTGTGAATGGGTGATAGGTCTTGCTACTTGGTTGACACATGTTATTCTATTCCACTTGCATGCTCATGATGTCAATCACTGGATTGTCTGGCCACAACGTGATTATTTACAGACTGCTGTCATTTAGCTGAAATATTGCTGAGTGTGTAGCTAAACAACAAACAAATCTTGTAATGCAGGTTTTAATTCCTACTACATGTGCCATATTCATAAATTGCAGAGACATTTTTAAAAACAATCGTTTAGTGAATCAGCTCAAAGACTGGAATATGTTCTTGACGTTTGCACATCTTTGTTAGGATCCTTCAAAAAATATTTTTTTCTCAAAATACCCTCTCAACATAAAATGCACAAATGTATCCACTACTTTGGGGGTGGTAAAGCAGGGCTGATGCTGATTCCAGATACTTGAAAATACTAAATAAATAGATTGTTTGGTTTCCTGATAGTAACAATCACTCAAAAACATGCAATCTTCCTTTGAGTTTTTGATGGTGGAAGAATTGGACTCCCATTTTAAAGGCCCTGATTCATTTCCTCAAATGGATATACATTCCATGAGAAGCCATTTTTTGGTGTCTCCCAATATTGCATTTAGAATAGTCTCCTGAATTATCTGGGTGAAGACCATAAGTTAAGTGCCTACTGGCAAGTGAAATGCATTTCTTGGACTAATAATTGTAATGTTTATAAGGCCAATTTTAAGATCACTTTGAAAAGCTTTCGAAATGACCAAAATAGCTTCAAAAGTTTTGAATTTGTACAAAATTACTGTTTTTCAAGTCTTCGACCAATACTGGATTTAGAAAAAAGAAATTACAGACTAAAAGCTAATAAACTAAAAAGCCTTTAAAATTACTGTTGAAAGCCTTGAAGTTCTGTATCTATCATGCAGTTCTGTATCTATCATGCAGTCTGGTATAACAACCAATCAGACAGACAGGTCCCAGGCAAGTGACTGTGATACACTCAACACAACCATAATGTTGATGAACTTTGTTAAATGTCCTCTTACCTAGTCTGACACTACTGCAGTAACAGATTAGCTGTTCATAGTGTTCAGCAACACTTCAGATTGTGTCCTTTTTTCATGACTGAATCTTAGTTTTTTGAAAGACTGCAATCTAGTGGATAGAGTACAGGCTGGTGGTTCCATCTTGTGCCTTGTCATAGCAACCACGATAAATGTTGGTTCTTGTTTCCCTGCCTTGGGTTCAGCGTTGTCAGAGGCGGAAATAACCCATTGCCCAACGTCCGAGTCCAGTGGGTTTTTTTTGTCGGGCAAGCACATTTGTACACCACGCTGTACCGGTGTCCAGTTGACATTCCAATGTTAATTATGTTGTTTATTACAAAAATCACAGAGAAAATCGGCAAAATTATCAGGGCATGTGATTTTACATGTGCCACTGTACCGGAGTACACTAGCAATTTTAAAGTTATTTTCACCCCTGGTTGTGAGGATAAATCTCGGACTGGCCAGCTTAGAGTAAGTATACTGTGTGTCAGGTGTTCATGTGAAGCTGGCACTGTAAACTTTTGTTAGGCAGGATGCGCACGTACATATACATGCATTCACAATAATCTCCAACACTGTGTTAAAACACATTTCACATCATTAAAGAGTGAGTGAGTTTGGTTTTATCAGTTTTACGCCGCTTTTAGCAGTTTTCCAGCAAAATTACGGCGGGGGACACCATAAATGGCCTTCACACATTGTACCTATGTGGGAAATCAAACCCGGGTCTTTGGCGTGACGAGCGAACGCTTTACCACTAGGCTACCCCACCGCCCACCTCATCAAAGAACACAACATTGTTATTGAAGATTATTTTATTAAAAGGTATTCAGATTTACAGTGGATTTATAAACAAATAGGATACATTTCTGACAAAACCTGAATAATGTTTAGAAATGTGAGAGCTGCCTTTACCAAATCTTACCAAGGTGTAATTTCAAAATCCTGAGTTATATGCAAAATGGCAATGTGTCACAAAAATCAGTGTAGAACAGCTTTCTCACTAACCCGGCCCGTGAAGATCTGGGGTAGAATAGGTCTTCAGCAACCCATGCTTGCCGTACAAGACGACTATGCTTGTCGTAAGAGGCGACTAACGGGATCGGGTAGTCAGGCTCGCTGACTTGGTTGACACATGTCATCAGTTCCCAATTGCGCAGATCGATGCTCGTGCTGTTGATCACTGGATTGTCTGGTCCAGACTCGATTATTTACAGACCGCCGCCATATAGCTGGAATATTGCTGAGTGCGGCGTAAAACTAAACTCACTCACTCACTCTCACTATCCCCCACTTGGGAAACATCACAATTTTGTGTGTCCATTTGGTAGTGAATAATATGAAGACTGGTGCCAAATCTTTTGAAACTAATTGATCTATATGGCACCAACTGTCCAACTCAATCTTCAGAAGTATATCTAAGAGAAACACTTTCATTCATTTAACTTCAGTAGAGATAGCTTTCGTCCCCTTTCACACAGTATGCACTAAGACATTTGGCAAAGCCTTAACTATGTTTACAAGCATAGTAAAACTAAAAATATCAAAATATAACTTTGAACCGCAACTCTCCTGTAGAAAAGGAGGGTTATCCTTAGATTTGAAAACTAAATCAATTCAAATTTGTTCAAGCCAGTGTTTAAACAAATATTGCCATGCGTTTTTCAAAGTTCAAAATATGTAAATTTCAAAAATTAGAAAATGGGCACAAACATCTTTAGACTAAAAGAAACATTTCCAAATTTGGAAACATTTTGACCAATACTTTATTGGTTGAACAAACTATTCGAAGTTCAAATTTTTAAATTGCCCTAATTCTTGAAAATTAGTTAAATATGACAGTGGAACTTTGCGCTGCAAGTCCCAATATTTGAAAACAATCAAACCAATAGTTTTCACATTACTATTTGAGCAAAATTGTCTTTGGACAGATATAATTCCTTGGTGTAACTATATACTCCCGACCTTTTTAGAGTATAACAATGAATGTCATAAGAAGAACACAAATTTTCAAATTGATCATGACCTGGTTACATCAGTGGGTAGAAAACAGTTTTCGAGAAAATGTGTTGCCATTGGATTAAATAATCTCTAAAACTATTTTATTGAAAAATGGTAGTCAAGATGAGTATTGGGGTAATTCCTGACACAAGATCATTTCTTCTCAGTCTTTGATCTGACCACCATCTTCCTGAAAGTCATATTGACCCTGACCCCTGAGAGTTTTTTCCTCTGGGGAAGGGTGTGGTACCAGAAGCTGTTTGTGGGGTGGTTCATCATCAGAAGAGAACCATGCTGAAGCTCAATCTTGACCGGGTTGATTTTACGTGATGCATTCTTACCACGAGCATCCTGGTGCTTGAACACAAAGTCCCGAGGCTGGCCCAGAGACAGTGATGCAATCGGGTGTCCCTTGGCCAGGTCCTTCTCATCATCTTTATGTTCCCCGATGTGGTCGCATCCATCCTTATATCTGGCAAGGAAAATGGTGGTTTGTGAGTGGGTGAGAGGGACGCTATTGTGTTTGACAGTATTAATCGTTCTATAGACATGTCAGCTTGATATTGGAGAAATCCCATGGTCCAATGACCTTGACTGTAGCATCGTAATCCACAATTACCATTTGACTGAATAAATTATCAAGCATCCTCTGGCGATATGCCTCCATATTTTTCGCCTTCTTCAAATGCATGCAAAATTTATCTGTGACAGAGAAATTGACATTGATAAGATTGGTTCATACTGTTGACTGATTTTCATGGAGAAGCATGTACAATGAATGACCCCCCTAAAATTTCATACAAAGTAAGTGACCCCAATAAACATTACTACCTGCATGTCACGTGACAAAATGAATGACCCCCTCCCTTCCCATAATTTTTAGCATATTTTCAAAATATATTTATTTATTTAAAATTGATGGCCCCTAGCATTAAATGTGTACAAAATTGGAATTGCACCCACCTGCCTCCAAAGAACAAACTGGGACTTCTAGGACAAGCAAATTATGCTTGTCCGAAACAAATTTATCATCATCCATGTGACATTACATTAACATACAGCTGAAACATTTGGTGACAACTCTATCCACCTATCACTGCTGACATTTCAGTGATATGCAGTTTATATTTAGTGTGGTATGGATAACTGATGGAGAAGACTTATGCCCCTTGGAAGAGGTAGTTGCTGTCAAGCACATGGCAGCATGGTGTGATGCAATGTAATAGAATGGGTTGATTTTACTTCAGAGTCAAGTGGGTTTTTTTCGGGTTTAGATCATGTTCTGGATAAAATATAATTTTGCATATTGACCTGCAATTGCATCAGTTTTACTTGCACAAACTCATGGACGAAAGAAATAACCAATAAACATTTCGTGGGCATCTTGTATTGCTCAAAGTCATCAAAGTGACAAATTCAACATTATAAAAAATTTGAACATTTAAAGTCTTGACTTCCCTTGTGTAGTTACGTTTGTCTCTTATCAAACTTATGGGAGAATGTTAATATACACAAAAGTAAGTATTTGAAACCTACATATTCTGACATTTTCATTTAAAACTAGCCCAGTGTGACTATTTTCTAAATCATAGCACACAGTCATTTTGACCACCCAACCCTGGAAATCTGTGGATTGGTAGTACTACCACAAATGTGTAGGGTGAATTAGTGTCAACCAAAAAAGAACCTGTTGATGAGAACGAAGTTGAACTCCTTCCCAGTGATGCTTGAGATCTTGTCTCTGATGGAGTCCAGCAGTGGTAGCCACGGCTTGGCATGGACTGTGTTGCCAGAGAAGGAGTAAGTCAGGCCAGCGTCACCATGGGCAACCTGAAAACAAATTCATTGCAGATTAAAAAATAATTTCATTCATTCATTCAATTATTCTAATCAAACTTTTTGTGTCTTTCATGTGACAAATGTATATCATGTTTAGTAAAATTCTAATTTCTGGTATTATTGCTACAAGTCTATACATCTGAACATGTTTTTCAATCAAGTTATGAGGATAGTTAAAAATCATTACCTATAAACATATGTAATTATGCATTTTTCACTAAAAGTGCCAAATCTGATTGTGAAACTGAATTTGACAAAAAGAACTAAAACTATGCATGGGCATTGTAAAAACATCCTCTTGCTTGAATGACTTCTTTAGTATTTTCCATTTGATGACTGCATACACAATGTGACTCCCAAGAGCGCAGATCGATGATCATGATGTTGATCACTGGATTGTCTGGTCCACACTTGATTATTTACAGACCGCTACCATATACATATATAGCTGGAATATTGCTGAGTTTGACGTTAGAGGACAAACCAGCAAGCATTCACCAATGAAGATGGAGACGAGGTTTATTTAAGTCACATAACATTCTACTAGTTTTTCCTTATATTCTGTACAGTACCTGTTTTCTTGGAATGTCATGCCACTTGCCAAAGATCTGCACCCTTGCAAGATGTCCAGAGTTATATTCAATCACCCTCTCGCATTCCGCAAGTAACTCGTCTGCCTCACTTCGAGAATACAGTTGCAGGTAGTCACAATCTAAATTCTTGCGAGTGATCCTTTCCCATTTCAGATCCGATTTCGGGGCAACTATCGTCGACAGCTTCGACTGTGCGTCGACGTCGGCATGACCGTCTCCGACTTCACTGCGACTTACATCTACACTGTGTATAGCTCCACGTGTCTGTTCTAAGTCATTTGACTTATCATCAGATATGTTAGAATCTTCAGGTTCAACAGTGAGACTGGAATGAGACACATCGCTGTCTTTTAAGTTCGTATCTTCACTGCCTTTAGACACATCGCTGTCTTTGACAACACTTCCTTTGAGCGGATCGTGTTTTGTTTTCTTGTTTTCACTGTCTCCGACACATTCATGACTGTCATCACTCAACGGTCTTTTCCTTGTCGTCTTTTTGACGAAGCTATCCAGCGACATTTCTGTAATGTGAATATATTGGATTGCACAACATTCTGAGTTTGAAATTGCTGTCACCCGCAGTTCTATTTTACCCACGTTCAGTTTAGAGTGACCTCCCTTGAATGTCACCAGGTAAAAGATGCGCTACTAAAATATTGGGTTCCCGACACACTTTGCGAGAATATGAGAAAAAGTGATATTTCAGCTTGATATTACATATGTATAAACATACAGTGCAAATGCGGATGCATAGGCGGATCCAAATGGGATTTTGTCCTGAAAGTTATTTAAATGACCATAGGAAGTCTCGTGCACCCCACCCCTTTCTCAAAAAGCTGTATCCGTCCCTGGGATGTATGTCTGTATACTTTTCAAAGTGCGTTTTGCAGCATGCAGTTTGTGTTCAGAAATAGTCAGATATTGTTAAGTGCTGTAGGACATACCACTGTGTACAGTCCAGGAAAATCGTACGGATGAAATGGCAAATATTATCTGAGTTTATAATGATGTTAATAGCATCACTAATATTACTTGGAGTAGGGGAGACCGGGGTCAATTGTAACACTTTTTACTTAACGTCTTGTAATTCGATACAAGACGACCGCTCACAAAGTTAATCGGTACTAACTAGTACACTGACATCTTGGTTTTAAACCTCAGTGTCATTTAAAGGTCACTATCATTTCGTTACAAAGTTAATACGTATAAGATGCAATGACTGCAAGTATTACAATTGACCCCTAGCACGGGGCAATTGTAACAGGCGGATGGGGCAATTGTAACAAAGAAGGTTCAAATGTAACAATCTGTTTATTTTCAAAATAAAATCAAAATAAAATGTGGAAAGATGTTATCTTGATCAATTGAGGTGGAAATGGATTAACATTAAACCTTTATCACCATCGACATTTGAAATGTTTTTGGTTTAAAATTCTTGTATTGGTATACCCAAAATATAATACAAAGACTAACACCAAAATATGTCACCCGAGGGCTCATACTATCAACATAACACTCAACATGTTCTACTATGATAAAACTAGTAAAGAACTAACATAAAACCTTCATCATAATATGCTTCATTATCCTAACACAAGGGAAAATTTACATGGGGGCAATTGTAACAGTGTTACAATTGCCCCCGATGGTAGTAGCCATGTTTCATGCCACGTCACACGTTAACAACTTTGGGCCTCTCAAATATTTCTACTTCAAAATATGTCGTAATACCTCAATTTTACACTTGTTAATTAGTTTCATACCAAGCAACATTTACTGCATTAAGAACCTTTTATTACGTTTTGTGAAAAATTTACTTTCCCATGTGAAAAACGATCCTTCGCTAACTGTATCTCGCCATGAGCGAGCAGCTGAAAAACGCCTGGATGTGTACCGTAGGAAAGTAAAGGGAAATAACTCTACTCACCTACACTATGCTTGAGCGAAAACCTTTAGAGTAATCGCCCTTGTTACAATTGCCCCGTGTTTCAATTGACCCCGGTCTCCCCTAAAATTTACAGCCCCCTCTTCGTATATTCCGTTAAATAACTGCTACAGATAGATCCGCTCTTTTGACAGGCTTTTATTGCAGAAAAGACAGTAGTGGGTTCGGAAAACTCGTGCGATTCCCAAAAGGCAGGCTGTTCCACATACACTGCATACCATTTATTACATCAGTCATTAAAACACCAACATTTACATGGCCGTTTGTTAAACAACTTTCCTTCTTCTTCATGCCAATATCTGAAATTATAGTGACGATTTGGTATGTTCAATCTCTTTATTCTGGTGTATGTAGGCCATCGGCCCGTAGTACAATATTACTTCATACAGCCAACAAACGGCTTGTACGCAACTCATTCGCATAAAATAGATACATATAGCTAGATTTCGTAGCACAGTGGAATTGTCTACAGACATCAAAGTATTAAATTTGCATAATGATGGATATGTATAATAGTTCACAGGAATATATTAAGAATGTAGATGATCATAGGTAGAACATATTAGGAGAAAATGATATTCATTTTCAATGTAAGCACCCGAACACATATGACATAATCTGAGATTCCTTGGCTTATTAATGTATCTACCCGTTTCAATATTTAATTGATGAGAGCTGTAACGAAACTGTGCAAGAGCAATGCGGAATGTCTTCACATTTATACAACTTAAATATGTCTCAGGGCCAAATACATGTTTATACAGTGAATAGGAATAAGTTTTAGAACTAGATGTTAATGATTCATGCCAACCCTGTACATACATATTCTGTGCCCTAGTAGTGAATTCAAAAAGAAATGAGTCTAAATTGTAAATACACTGGCTCTCCCATACATAACCAAATCCCATGCTATTTAATAAAAACCTAAGTTTTGAAGCCCAATTAATTTTACCGTGGGAAACATCTAGCAACACTAAGATATAACACTTTTTAGGAAAACGCGATGCCGGCATTTTCAACAACTTATACCAATATTTGATACAGCGTTTGTACGCATAAATATATATGGGATATCTGCCACATTCCCCACGAACAAACTCATTGGACGAAGATGTTTTAACACCATGTACAGTTTTACAGGCCAACGTCTGAACCCTCTCCACATTAGAACTGATATCACAATCTAGCCCCCAGACTTCAGCGCCATACAGCAAAATTGGCTTTACTTTTTAGTAAAAAAAATGAAAAATAAATGATAAAAATGGGCAAATGACTAACTTTTATGCCATTTAAGACGATTTGTTATACTTCATATCTCTAATGTTGTGGGGCGGTGGGGTAGCCTAGTGGTTAAAGCGTTCGCTCGTCACGCCGAAGACCCGGGTTTGATTCCGCACATGGGTACAATGTGTGAAGCCCATTTCTGGTGTCCCCCGCAGTGATATTGCTGCAATATTGCTAAAATCGGCGTGAAACTAGCCTCACTCACTCACTCTAATGTTGTAGTTGTATGTAGATCGATTGCCTCACGAGCGCAATTCTCGCACAATATTCCCTTTTTTCCAATGCTTAGATCTTACAAAAAATGTGAGTCAGGAGAATACTCAGCATCCTGGTGGTTCAATATTATTTACAAGAGATTGTTCTCTGTAAAAGTAAGACTAACCCTTGATCTCTGAAAAAATGTAATGTCCCTAGACACACGTGACTCTGAGTGAGTGATTTTAGTTTTACGCCGCACTCAGCAATATTCCATCTATATGGTGGCGGTCTGTAAATAATCGAGTCTGGACCAGACAATCCAGTGATCAACAGCATGAGCATCGATCTGCGCAATTGGGAACCGATGGCATGTGTCAACCAAGTCAGCGAGCCTGACCACTCGATCCCGTTAGTCAAGCATGGGTTACTGAAGATCAATATTCTAACCCGGATCTTCACGGGTATAAGTAACTCTGAACACATATGCCATTTAGAACGTGATCAGATGTAGCACATGCTATATTTGGGATTACAGGTTCTCAGTAAAGTACAGATTCTGGTACTTTTGTTAGGTTGAGTCCCATCCGGGATTCGAACCTACATTCTCAGAGTCAGGCACCTAATCGCCACTCACTATTTTGTTTCTGCAAAAATGGAAGTCTGGCAACTGGTAGTCTAGACCACGGAGTTTGTGTACCCCACTTTCTAAATGGCATGTCTGTACTGTACTGAAACTGTGTAATCCCAAATATAACACGTGTTACAAAAGTAGCTCTGTTTTCATTGAAAAGGACCACGCCCCTACAACACAGGTTCCAGCCAGCAACCTTTAGCGTTTGTACCATACCTCGCAGCAGCGGTGTAGTTGTGAACACGGTTCAACCACGTCCACGCGACTTCGGCATCCGTGCAACACGACAAGCCCGACGGCCATTTCTCACGCCAGAACGTCGACGTCGACGTCTCCAGTGCAACAGATACTACTTGAAATGGGGAGCACATGAGTGGAGACAAGTTGATATGGCGTACAGGTGGACGATACATCATACGTTCTTCAATGGGAACGTTTCGGAGGTGGGGGCGTTATGATCTGGGATAGAATAACAGCTGCAGCAAGGACGCCAATGGCTGTGACTGAGGGGAACTGTTGTGAGGTACCGAGACGAGATTTACCGTTTTTGCAAATGGCCCAAAAGATTCAACACGATAACGCAAGACCACATTATACAGCAGTACAATCAATCAGAACAATGTTAGTGTGTCACCCATTGCACACACGTCTGGACGTGGAGAGTGGTTTACGACATTGTCCGAATACCCTAACAACGTTGCAGGAATTCTGCGAAATCTCTCCTCGAATATTGAATGATCTTCCCCAGGACTTTCATCGGCTTTGGAGGAAATAAAGAGTATCTATCAATCTATCATATGCCGGGTAGGCTGTTCTTACGGACTGTTGATCGTTACCATACCTTGAAACATTTGACTCTCCATGTAACAACATTTCATTTACGGCAGTAAAAGTTTAACACTAATTCTGTTTGTTGTGAGTCACAATAACATTTGAATATATTATTAGAGGTGAAAATATGGTGAAATATCGATCGGCTGTTACTTCGCGGATTCAAACTTTGCGAACAATGTATGTAGTTAAGGTAGCGTTTAGTATATAGTTAAGATAGCGTTGAGTACGTAGTTAAGGTAGTGTTCAGTTTACAGTTAAGGTAGCGTTTAGCGTGAAGTTAAAGCAGTATTTAGAATATAGTTATGGTAGTGTTCAGAATATAGTTATGGTAGAGTTTAATATATAGTTAAGGTAGCATTTAGCATAGTGTTACGGTAGCGTTCACCTTATAGTTAAGCATTACCAAAGTACAAGAGAGTGATGTTTCTTACCTGAGTAAATCAAGTTAATGAGACATCCTCGGAGAGAATTACGACTGTTTGTCGTCCGTATTTATACATAATCCAGCACTTTAACATCCTTTGATCAGAGTAGGGTCACCATTAAGTTCTTGTTGCGAACTTTGTTGACTATATCTCGACAGAATTTCATAATAAATTTTGATGAGGGTATTGATGACAGTGGTGTTTGTGGGTGAGTTAGATTTACTGCTCAGCTTGTATACCCCGTTTGTATACGCGGTACATATGGGTGGG